TTTTTTTATTTTAGACACCATATCTAACATGATTAATGGTTCAGAAAATACAAAATAGCGGTAAAAATATCCACTTTTTATTGAATAGAGAGGCTGACTGTGAGAGCAACCATTTTTGTCGTAAATATTCTAATTTCTTTGCAGATAGCTGTTGCTTGTGCAACCTTATAGGCCTATATGTTTAAAAGTATCCCCTTAATTTATTGACACGGATAAATGCTAGATAAAATTTGTGTATATTTTAAATTTTCAGGATAGGTCAGAAATTTGGCTACTTAACAGTGAGTAGATTTTGGTAATGGTCCATTAAAAATTAGTGGTTAAATGTTAATTAATAAATTGTCTTGGCAGATGTCTGCTCTTTTGAGTGTTTTCGTAGTCTTTTTTAATAATATAAGTAGAGCATCAACGAAAACAAGACGATTTGCTTCAGCAATTCATTTTATTCGGTTTTTGCCTAATAATCCTGATGTTAACACTGTTCGTAGAAGTTTGATATCAAAGTCTATGCGTGGAAATTAAGACTCTTAACTATGAATGAATTGTGTTCGATGCGGCAGATATGCGACACATTTAACACAATATTGCTTTTAGACACCAAAATGTGTTAACTGTGCTATGTGGCACTCTTTAAATGCATCCGTTTGGCTCCTGGGACGCTCTTTCTCTGACTGCCTTTGCGAATTGCTCGAACTGACTAAAGTCACTAAGACCATACGCCAGGTCAGACCCCCTCCCAGTGATAATCTCGAGTTCGCAGGCGCGAGCGTTGTCAATGCCCATAGCAAAAACCTGTACCCCTTCCATTGCCCTCAGTTTATCGGCCTCTTTTGCCAGCTGACTGCACCCTCTGTTACAACGGCCGTCGGTGATGACGAAGACGTGAGTGGCAGTGTCCGGGGTGTTAAGGCGGCTGACTCCTTGGCCAAGAACTCTGGTCCTAGTGTGACGCAGTGCCTCGGTCGTGGCGGTGGCAGACCCGTGGCGATGACGCAAGGCAATGATTTTACGGTTAAGTTGGTCAACGCCAGCGTGACTGTCGGTGAATGGGATCGCCGTCTCAACCTGATCTCCGAACAGCACCAAGGCTATCTGCTTCTCTCCGTCCAGGCCACTGCCCATTGTGGTAGGACAGAAGGAGCTAGTTAGAAGAGCCACGCCCTCCTTGGCTTGCTCGAAGGCCGCGTTGGATATGCTGCCTGACGTGTCCAACACAAACACGATATCGCGGTTAGCATGAGGTCCGATGCTGCCTGTCTGGCGCCTGGGCGAGCTTGCCGCAGGACTGCCGCCTGACCCGTACCCTACCCCGCCACCTGGCACGGGCCCTCCAAATCCAAATGGAAGTGTTGTAGCCACTATAGGCTGCGGGTCGCTGTCATAGATACAGGAGTCTGCAAAGCTGGTACCTGCTACAGCTCTAGGTCCTGAAACCCCAATCCCCCAACCCCCTCCTCCCCCACCTCCACCACCTCCCAACGCTCCCGCAAATTGACTGACAGCGCTGGCTAGTCCCGCTGAGCCTGAAATATGATATATATGTAATATTAATCACTGATTAATATGTAAAGTGATACACACTATGAATAAGCATTCATTTTCATCAGATTGAATGGGTTTATTATTTTTAGCATCGACCAAAAAATAAATAAATAAATAAATTTAAAAAAAAATAAAAATAAAGATAAGGCACCACGACGATTCCGTAAAACTACTGACTTAAATCGAAAGTAGGCGGTACGAAAAGCAATCTCCACTGATAAGGTCTATAGAAAGGCCAAATCAACCTACCAATTTGGGTCACCTGCCTTCTATGTCGAAGTTTGGATACTTTTGATACTATTTCATCTCTAGCTTCGTCAAGGTTTAGGGCAGCGAAGCCACTGAAAATGAAAGTTTTTTATCACCATTTGATCGAGAGAATACATAAAAAAAACGCGCGCGCTTTGTTGCGCACTATACACGTACTATGTATATAGATAAGTAGATACATGTATGCTAAAATTGCATTAAAATCGGTGCCACACACCCAATCATGCAAACGAGAGATTTTACACAAGTGGTGAACAAACACTACACTTACATTTTAGGAAAAAAAACTACTTGATATGGATATTTTAAAAAATCTAAAGAGATTTTAAAACAAATTTTTTTGAAATTCGTGATAGATAGTCGTTATATAACTTAAAGTCCTCCGTTTAAAAACATCATGACTTCAAATGTTTGAAAGGCAAATCTTCGAAATTCCAAATTAATCGAGGCTTAATGGATAAGTCTAGGCATTCGTTGTATAAAGTCGTATACGGTAGTGTCTGCTTACGGCGTGATGACATTTTGTGGATAACCCCCCGTTTCAACTTTTTAAAATAACAGTTAAAAAATTTAACGCATGTCGACGAAAATTCTTATAGCATGGACAGACAATATTGTTAATAATGCGAGCACAAAAAAGTAATTTCTCCCCTTGACGTAATATTAATCTTTGCTTAAGGTGCTGGCTAATTTCTGTACAATTAAAACTAAAGATAACTTAAACTTATGGCGGTTAACACCCTATACTGATACCACTTGGCTACAGCAATTGGAACGGACACGTGCATCCATGCATCTTTACGATCATTCTGGATTTAAATGTTTCTTTAAACAGGGATTTTGATTTCCATACCAAAAATAATAATGATATAAATATAATAAAATGCGCTTTGTGTTAAAAAAATAAAGGAGAGAAAAATTGTTACAAGCGGTTTCTTTAATACAAACGGGCACACAGCGGGAATGCTGCTCTTTTAAACACGTGATTCCGTGGACACAAACAAACTCCATCACAGAGTACATAGAAACTTACCCCGCGACGAAAACACAGAATACAATTCTACGTAACATTTTCGCTCTCTTGATACAGGTGCTATCATGCCGATCAAAGAAAGCTTCCGCACCTTATATTTATATCTCTACGTGACAGGCCTGTTTTGGTTGCATGCGATAACAGCTAAATCTCCGGGTTATGCTATTGCGTCTTAATCGTGTGTTGAATAAAAATTATAACCAAAACACGTTACAATCTAGGCACAATGTAGCTCTCAATTCACCGGTGTCATTCCGGGATAGGACGGAGAAAAGAGGGGGGGGGGGGCACAAAATAATTCATCTGTAAAATATCAGTAGCAGTTGTCCTCGAGATTTGGTTTAACTTCTCATCCAGGGATCGTTTGCTCAGTTATGTAATTAAAAATATTGCCAAGTATTTTTGAATATCGCCTATAACGGACCTGACTTGAAGAGATGTGTGAATATTTAGATGTTTGCTTACAGCTGGCTACAAAGTTTCGATCGGTAAGATAATTCATGCTAACTCTAAAAGTGTAACTGTTTTTTTTTTTAATATGCTGGTATTGATGTGAAGTTATGGACTTTGTAATTTGCGGAAGTTTTCCAAGTGTTTGATTGTCTAACTAAAACAAAGTATAGTGAATTAAAGACTCAATACACAACATACCAGCAACTTCAAAAAGGGGGTGGGGGTCTGACAAAGTAGAATTTTTTTATCCTCTTAGTTGACCCAACCTTTGAAATGACATAAAACCTAGACCAAAATGACGTTTCTTTCAACGGGACAGCTCCCCCCTGGGGCCAACGGGCATGAAATAGTATAACAAATATATCAACGCTGCAAAAAAAGAAAAAAAACTAGAGACGAATTGATCCTGGTACCCTGCTCTTGTTTATCCTTTTTCTGTCAGAAGTCAACCGCAGAACAAGGAAGAGTGTCTGAGGATTGATGGGGAGACAGAACAAAGGGCGACCTGGAGGCAGACTCGGTGTCCGGGATAGGCAACTAGTCAATAAATAAGTCAAAAACACTACTGTATTAAGATGCAGCCATCCCTTTAGGAAGGGACCCAACGTATGCAGTGAAGGCTAGATCGGTTAACGTTATATTATGACCCGTTCAATTAACAATGAATAACACCCGCAGACGCACATAGGCGCGCACACACACAAACACTTACACACACTCTCTCTCTTTCACTCTCTCTCTCTCTCACACACACACCACCCTGAGCTTCAGAGCTAACTTGACACTAACCTTTTCACTGTAGCCTATCTACAACGTGTCAAGTTACTTGACACTAACCTTTTCACTGTAGCCTATCTACATCGTGTCAAGTTACTTGACACTAACCTTTTCACTGTAGCCTATCTACATCGTGTCAAGTTACTTGACACGATGGAGATAGGCTACAGTGAAAAGGTTAGTGTCAAGTTAGCTCTGAAGCTCAGGGTGACACACACACACACACGCTTGAACCGTGCCACGCAGCAGTGTCCGCTCTACAATTTATAGTCGTTCAGCGTCGCATTAATCAGATAATACATGGGGTATTCCGCTTAAGGTTGTCATACTTCAAGGAAACAATACACAGGATTCTATTGTCTCCTAAGTCTTCGTGTATGTAGTTTGTCTCTGTTTACATAATTGACAGCTTACATTAAAACTTCTGGTTCAAAATAACATCAGTCACGCAAAGAGCAAATGCAAGGAACGCATGCTAACTTTCATTTCACACCCTACCCCCGAATTTCCGAGTTCCCTGTATATTCACTACGTTATTATCAGCATGCCTCTGCCAGTAAGTTTCCCACTATTCTCTGAAACTCAGGGTACCTTCCATTGTGCTGAAGCCAAATATAAGAATATTAAAAAAATTATTGTATGATGGTCGGTAGGCACAAGAAAATAATTTAGGACGTAACGCTTGGTCCCTTTTAATTCAAATTTGCTATTTTTATTTTGTCTAGGGATACCGTTCATACTCAAAATTATCGTTAATTGGAGAATTATAGGGTCAGATAATATACATTTAAATTCGCTATTTATATTTCGTCTACGGATGCCGTTCATTCTCGAAATTATAGCTAATTGGAGAATGATACGGTGAAATAATGTAAATCCTGCATCTATGAATAACAAATTTATTTTAAAAAAGTTAATTACGTCCTGTATTTTGCTCATCAGTCAAATTTCGTCATCCGAGTCTACTTATCTCAAAACTCTGACCTTGTGCTGATTTAAAGTGTAAACTCGGGTGTAAACAGTTTCGGTTATGAAATACAGGACACAGACAGTTGCTTTTCTCTGATAAACCCACTTATTCATTGCCCTCTACCAGGGCCGCAGTTATTATTCTGTGGACATTTTTGCTGATAATGCAGAAATTAAATATCTTTTTAACCAGAGACATATCTGTTAATATCTAATGAAAAATCAATCTGTGGCCTTGGTAGAGGGTACATGTACTTAGTCATACACATGCAAACCAAGCTCTCATTGTGTCAGTTGCGCTCTCTGATATACAGTTGCCAACCTTGCCCCACATAACAGTTGAAATGATAAAACATGGCCCAGTAGGCTTAAGAGTGTGACTTTTCTACCTTTTTGGGAAGCGTGTGTGTGTGTGTGGAAAGGCTGAATTTTTTTTTTTTTTTGATAAGGACATTTATCTATCGATAAAAAGGAGTGTAAACAGCTCAGATGACGCGATTTGACATTCTGTAAGCAACATTCTGATAACATTCTGTAGCAAAAAAAAAAAAAAGTAAACAGCACAAACTACGTGTGGTGACATAGATATTGTAATCTGTGTGTGAAGAATGCTCATGTTGATGGATGAGTTGTGTTTTTAAACTTAATTTCTATGTGAAAATAAACATTTACAAACTTATTTCAGATTTAACTGTGGATGCCATCTTTTTTTAACGAAAAAGAAAATTGAAATGTCTGCAAATTCAACTTAATTCCCTGTAATGTGTTGCATGTTCCAATACTTCCAGGTATATCACCCCATGCACTTTAATTCCAGTGCTGTTAATTTTATTTACTGTTAAAACGCTTTAAATCCTCTGATTTACCTCTAAGTGTTTTAAGGCAACTAAAAATCCAATAGAAAAAATATGATGAGGATATTACCGGACACCCCGTAGCATTCTTTTTGGGAATATTGAAGCCCTTATTTTGTTTTGTATTGTGGGGTGTTTCCCTGGAACCCACCACAACACCCCCACTCCGCTCCTACATTCTTCTCCGGGTATTATATAAAGTTACCAATGAAAGTTCATTTAGTTAAACGATCAAATATGTGGTAAATATGGTTAAACCCAATTTTAGGGTATTTACTAGTAGGTTAGCAGGTTGAAACAACATGTGGAGTGGCTCCCACGTGTAAGCAGATGCCGCAAACGTGATGGGGACATTATAAGCTGTACAGATATAGAAGCCTTAAGCTTCTTGTGACACATAAAGACTCTTACTATAAGGGCACGTTCAGATAAAACAATCGTACTAACTGGATCAATCCTACTCTGTGGGGGATTCTCCCTAAGTGAAATCACAGCAATCTATTTTGTTTTCAGACACGTGTACACCTCCTCGAGTAGCTATAGGGGGCAATTAACTAAAACTAGCTAGGACCTCAAGGAGGCGTGTCAGACAGAAGCTGATTGCACTGAATGCACTTTAGCGAGAATCCCTGGCAGACTTGAATCGATCCAGCTGGTGCGATGTTTGAACGAGGTCTTAAATACCGCACCATCTATTTCACTCGGTTGGAGGCAGAGTTTGGGCACACAATCCGAGTTTCAGTCTATGTTATACAGTTCAATTTCTGCACGGCTCACAATGTTTCGTGTAATTTGTATCGCTTTCTTTGTGGTCAGGTAAGTCTTAGATCTTAGATACCCCTGAAATTTTTGATCGGTTATAATTCGTTCATATTGTTTGGGGCGAAACACGCCAAAATTTCCAAATAAAGTAAGAAATTTAATGATTGCAGCTTACAGATTTTTATTCAAAGAATAATTAAAGATTTTCGTTCAGAGAATAACTTCTTACAAGGCCTTTACCACAAAATCAATTTCACTATAATAATAATTGGTAACGCCTTACTAACGCGATCTTAAATTTGTGGAAGAACATTATCACAGGATTTGAAATTCTCAAACTGACAACTGTTTGTGGATTTCTATTTAAACGTGATTCAGTTATTAGCCAAGTTGTAATGCGCAGATCTGGATACTTGTACAGATGAAAGTAAATAAAGGCAAGTTGCATTTTTGTTTTCAGCGCTTTTGCCCTAGAAAATGACGACGTCTTGAGAGATCGTTTGGTGGAGAACGTGTCCAGAGCAAGGAGAGTAGTATGTAACACAGGTATAACAGTGTGTGTGTGTGTGTGTGTGTGTGTGTGTGAGAGAGAGAGAGAGTGATTGCGCTCTAGCGTCTAAATGCACCTGTTTTTAGCTGTAGTTGAATATATGCATAAGTTTGTTTGGCAGGTAGGGAAAGGTAGCCAAAGTAGCCGTTCATCTATGCGTGCGCGCATGTGGTATTTTCTTCTGAAATTCGTAAAAAAATATTAGATGAAGTATATGAAAGTATTAGCAGATCATGGACAGTGTCTTAATTGCTGCCGTGTTTTGTTTCCAGCAACCTTGCCAGGAGGAGTGAACGCTGCCGCCAGCAAGTTTGCCGCAGTCCTTGGCAAACGGCAGGTGGGCTGCGTCGGCACGACCGGCACAGGCACGTCTGCAGGGTCCAGTTGGGCAGACTCCTGCGTCTACGGTAGCGGTGGCGGTATTATCAAACCTATATACCCGGGCATCCCCACAAACCCGCTGATCCCAAACAGCATGACCAACTCATTCACCGGCATACTGGGAAAGAGGGGTGCCGATCCTTCGCCTTTTAAAAATAAGCCAAAACGCGACTATGTTTTTGTCCTTGACACCTCAGGCAGCGTCTCTATGGATTCTTTTGAACGGGCAAAAGAGGGCGTGGCCATCCTGACCAAGTCATTTTGTCCTGTCACAATGGGAAACGGCATGGAGGAGAAGCAGGTGGCCGTCGTCTTGTTCGGCAATACTGTCGAGACGGCCATTCCGTTCTCCACGAGTCACGATGGCACGGACGCGTTGAACAGCAAGATCATCGCGCTGAACCACCGCAGGGGTTCTGCCACAGCCACAGCGGAAGCCTTGAGACACGTGCGTCAGCGCGTTCTTAGCCAACCAGGGAGCAGGTTGAACGACACGGACGCCTCAACCCACGTGATTGTCATCACGGACGGTCGGTGTAACCGCGGCTGCCAGTCTCTGGCTGATGAGGCTGACAAGCTGAGAAAGATGGGACCAAACGGCGTCCAACTCTTCGCCCTCGGCGTCGACAACGCACGTGCGTGCGAGCTGGAGATCATCACAGGGAAAGGCTCGGACATGGCCTTCGGCCTGAACGACTTCACGGAGTTTGAGAAGTTTGCTACCGCCGTGCGTGACCAGGCCGAGAACCAGAACAGTGGCTGCATCTAGGCTATTACCGGGGTCTTAGAAAGATGCATTGATAATTTTTGCACAGACTGAAAATTGGCTAGCATTATATCACTGTATGAATATTTTTGAGAAAAGCCTGCGGTTCTAAATAAATAGGATGATAAAAAAAGCAATATGCGCTTGTCTATATGGATTGATTTATTCGCTGACTCTCTCTCTCTCTCTCTTTCTCTCTCTCTCACACACACACACACACACACTAATAATAATAATAATAATAATAATAATAATAATGTAAAAAGCAGCAATGAAAGTAATTATTTGACTATCATCGATGAAAATGTGCTTTTAAGACACTGCAGTTCACCGAGAGTGTAGCAGAGTCTTAGACTGAGTTCCCATACTTAGAACGATCCATCTGGATCGACCTTACTCCCTGGGGGTTCACGCTAAATTGCTATCAGCTCAAGTGGCTTAACTTTCTGTCACGCCTACCGAATCAGCTAGGGTAAAGATAATTTACCCCCTAACAGTTTTACTAGGCGTGACAGACATTTAAGCCGGTAGATAGATAGATCCAAAAATCTGTGGGAATGGTCTCTAATAGGGAAATATTACGGTGAGCTTCACTATACACTTTTATATTTCATTCCAAATCCCAACATAACAACAGTAAGTTTCCACTGAATGAAAGGGGTTTTAAATGTTTTGTAAAAACTCCCTGGCCTGGGAAGACACGTGGCGGTAGTCTTCAGGTCTCTCGTGACTCGTCTTCCGGCTCCAGACAGTTCTATATAGAAACCGCCGACGGGGATAAAGTGAACGCTGTATGCACATGAATTTCCGAAGTCAGAGGCGGATTGAACAATATAGAAATATTTTGGAAGGTATCAGCTTGAGCACATGTTATTGCAAATTGTGCAAATGATTCCAAAACAGACGAGTGGCAACCAGTAGAGTCTACGCAGGTACCCGGCGAGGTAAGGCCGAAAACTGACTGAGGCAAGCTGGTTGTGTTTAATAAAACTATGCAAATTGTTACTTGTGAATTTGCAGCGTTTGTCTAGGGGGTTGATATTTAAAACTAATAACTTTGGCCATTGATGTTGTTGCTGTACGCAAATGTTGTATAGATAATCTTTAAGATTTTGATAAGGGAGTGGTATCTGCGAGTGGTTTTCTATTCCAGTCCCCCCCCCCCCCCTTACACACGCGCACACACACACGTGGGATCATACTGATTTTCTGTCGTGTTTTTTTTTTACAGGTTACCATGTAAACATTAAAAGACGTAACAAAAACAGTATAAGAAAACCATGGCAGCCTCGGTATCACTGGACCTTGGAAAATTAGTGTCTATCACTCAGACCCTGGAGAACATCTTCCACCAGTCCTTTGGTCCCAATGCCCTGCTGACCACAGTGCTGACATCTACTGGGAAAGTGATGGTGACCAGTAATGGGGCATGTATACTGACCTCCCTACAGCTGGACCACCCTGTGGCCCGTATGGTGTGTAGCAGCGCCTTGGCTCACCATTGTTTCACTGGGGATGGCACTAAGACATTTATCTTCATGGTTGCTGAGGCCCTCAGATCAACCCTGAGGAGGGCAAAGAAAGTAAAGAATGGTTGCAGTGGTAGTGAGAAACCTCATATTAATCAGTTTGTAATAGAAGTGACTCAGGCTCTTGGATATATAGTATCAGACATCTTACCAAACTATGTATTTCCTCAGTTAGAAAGGTATGCCACTGCCACTAAATTAACAGGAGACATGACAGAGACAACACACGAAATGACATTAAAAGTTCTGCAGACCTCTATGTTGGGAAAAGCTCCTCTTGAAGTGTCATCACATTTTAGCCACCTTTTGAGTAAATTCATATCTTCCATAGGAAATTCACATAATGTTCTAGACAAAGTACTGTACCTCATTGACAATTTCCCGACAGTCACCATGGAAATATCCAATGACAATTACTCATGCTCACAAATCATCCCAGGTGTCCTACTTCCAAAGAAATCTGTTACTCTCATTGACTCTCTCCTTCAAACCTCAAATATTAAGTTTATTTTGCTAGAGTGCTCTCTTGAAGGAGATCAGGATGAGCAGACTGACCTGCCCCCTGGTGTGCTTCAAGTTTCGGGATACCATGGTTTTCAGCAGGCATTGCAATGGAAAGAGCAGACAGTGAGGAGGATTCTTCAACACTATGCCAACTCAGGAGTTCAGTTGATCATTACTTCATGGGCTGTCTCGGAGCTGGTGATGTCCATCTGCCGCGCGGTTGGAATGGCTGCCATCGGAGCTATACCCCTGGAGGATATGGAAAGACTAGCAGCAGCAGCTGATGTGATCATGGTTCATGAAACACATTATGTCTTGTCAGAGGAAAATATAGCAACGATCAAAAGTTTAAAAGATGT